GATGTGAACAGAATATGGTGGAATTATAGCAGTCACTGCAGGCAGGGGGGAGCTGATAGGCAGGAGCTACCTTTTCTGTCTGGATGCATTCTTTCCTGGCTGGATGCATTATTATCTCTGAGGTCACTGCTGAGAAGATGGCCTCTGCTACCCAGCCTGACACTGCAAACTAGGGAATGCTAGGTCTCAGTAAAGATCTGTTCTGCTCATAATAGGCTCAGAAAAGATGGGGTCAGTCTGCACAGTACGAACACAAAGCTCCCAGGTGACCTTTCCTTTCTCTTTTCCTCTTAATTTTTACTTAATGTTATAGCAGTCTGTTACATTCCAATACACTGACTTCAGATGAGCTGCTGTGTGGGAGCACATCCAGGATGAGTCTAGGCTACCCTGAGAGGAAAGGTTATGAAGTCCTTCATCAACTCAGCAGCTCAGGATTAGCCACCTGAACCATCTTTGCAGAGTGGACAGAGCCTGAGATAGGAGACTTAATAAACCCAGAAGTGTAACCTTAATAAGTCTGGAAGTGTGTGTTCTAGCCCAGCAATTAATTTTTATTTGCTATTATAATGGAAATTTAACAACAATGATAAAATCTCAATTGTTTATATAAGAGTGTCTGGGGGTTTACAGGAAGTATTCTGCATGCTAGATAATTAACATGAACCTAAGTATATATCAGGTAAAACCACAGTCCGAGCTGCAATCCAAATCAGTGTTCTAGGAAGTAAATTGGGGCTAAATATATAAACTATTTTCATTGTTGTTGCACAAATGCAAATGTTGTTAGATATTTTTCTGCGATGACCTGAAGTTAATTCCTTTATAATTGCTATTAAATTAAACAACCCTCTGAAGAAACGACCAAATAATTTCTGCTTGAGAAAATGTTATTTGACCAAATGTGAAATTTTCATTTTGTTTTCTGTCCTTGTTTTTTAATTAAATCAAAATAGACTCTGGAAGCAAATTCATCTTCAGAGAAGAAATGGAAACATTTTTATTTTAAATGGTAGAATCAAGCATTTTGAAGTTTTCATTATCCCTGGTAATTTTTTTTTCAATTAAAGGGTGCTCTCAATTTTTCTAAATGGTTTGGTATATTTTTCTAAAAAGATGATTGGTTTTTTGTGAGCTGTAGTCACTTATGTCAGTACTCTGTATATTGCACACATATTATACGAAGAAGAATGTCTCTATGCTCCTGCTGAATGAGAGCAAATGCAGCTTGCATACAGTCACTTTCAGATGTGAAACTCAAGTGTGTCCTTCAGCTCTACCTGGCAACCTTACTGCACATAACAGTCGTACGTAAGCGGTTGAAAGGTGATTCAAATGCAGCATAAAGTTTCAGAATCCCAAAGTGATTTCGCTTTCCCAGAGTATCACCTAGAAACACAGTGCTTTTGAGGAGTAACCTCTCAGAACGTTCAGTGCTTGAGTTCAGCAATATTGTAGAAAGCAGGTAAGGCAAGGATGGCTGAGTGTTGCAGGGAACAATGACTAAAAGGTGAAAGCAAAAATGTGGAACCGTGCAGTGCCTTATAAAAACAGGGGTGAGGAAGACCCAGCAGCCATGGAATGATGTGCTCTGGGGCATTTGGATATCATGACAAGTTCCAGAGAGGGGTTGCAGAAAACCAGAAGGGTTTCTTTGCCACTGTGTTAGCAGACCTTTTAGACATAAACTCCATGAGAAGTAATGCACACCAGAAGCTGGATTTTAGGTACAAATGTTGAATCATAGTCATTTGGGGAGGTACATATGAGACACACAATAGGTACATGAGATAAACCAATGTATATCAAGCCAAGCAGCCCCTGTCTGTTTTGGCAAAACTTTTTATGTCATTATTTGTAGATTTTAATCTTTTTAACTGAGACATTGTAACTGCTAAATGCAAAGTGTTGTTTTCCATCTGATGGAAGGGAATGCAATGTGAATAGAATACTGCAGACACTGGCTTTGGGCATAATTTTTCTCTTACTTTAGTGAGTCATGAAAAAATAAAGTCAGCAGAATATGTAAGTGTTCTGTTGTCTTCTGGTAGAGCTGAGGCCACCAGATACTAGTACATGATAAAACACACCGAAAGATAAACCTGCCTTTTGTAATGAAAAAGAGGGATCTGAAGTTTTTTAAGGACTTCTAAAATATAAAATCTAGCCTATAACATATTTCAAAGTAGAGGTTTTGTATTCTCTTTTATTATTCTTCCACCTTATTTATGAAACTTCCCATATGTTCAGTAAGAAAACTTGTCCTAGTGGAGAACTATATGTGAATTACACCTTGTTTTCATACTTTTTAGCTTTTGTATCCTGTACTAATGAGTATTTGAGATTTTTCATTAAAATTCATAGATTAAACCAATATAAATAAAATTATTTCAATGAAACTGTACATTACTTTAAAATGTGTGTACAGTGTTCAGCTTAAATAAAAATAAAGTGTGGCAATTTAAAGCATTACTATTTTAATTAAAGTGGCTGCTAACACATTGAAAAGTTGAGCCTTGAAAGGTTTAATGCTGTTTGCAAGCTGCCAAGCTCCAAGCAGGTAAAGTAAGAATTATAAGCATAAGAAATGGGGAAAAATTAAGAATAGAAATCTACTCATACTATTATATAGCAATATAACATTTTTTTCAAATAGAAAAGTATTACTAGCTCCTAAATCATAATAAGTTCATGGAATTTCAAAATAATTTCGGTAGTGAGTTTTTTGTGTTCTGGGTTTTGTTGGGTTTTGGTTTTTCTTATTCCCTTTCTAATACAACACTGGTGTGCAATGACGACTCCTGTTTAAAACCAGCTTTTACGTTTACTGGAAACCTTGAGAGCATGCTGAAGTCTTACACATACCTCACCTTTATTATTCTTGCTCCAGAATATCCAGAGCTGAAGCAGTCAAGGTCATGGTCGTGAATTTGATCACATAAAATACTCTGTGTTTCCTCCATCACATGGTGGGTTTGGGGTTTTTGCTTTGTTTCATAGGGTAGCTGCTGTAAAGAAGGACCTGAGGTAGGCAGTTCCCTTTACCAGCAATCCATAAGCTTTGTGATTTCTGTATACTAAAAGTTTGCCCTACACGTTATGAAGTCATGATTTCTGGATGATTATTAGTTTTGACTAGCCCCTAGCAGATGATTTACTTGTAAAATGATTCCTTTTTCTTTCACCCTTCAGCAGAATTACACAAAACAATGTTTTACACAATACAATGCAAACACCTGGGAGCTTTCCATAGCCCCTATTCCTCCTTCTGTACAGTGTTTTGCTTATACTGCAGAGGTGACAAAATGTATGGTTTTACAATCCAGATTGCTGCATGTGCTGTACAACATAAGGATCCTGTCTTTCACAGGCTTAATGGTTTGATAGCAAATAATTTTTGAAAGCTTCCCAATTATTTAGGAAAATTACTTATATTGACATTTGTCAATAGACACAAAAACCATGGAAATTAAAAGTAATAAAACATGGACAAAAATTAAGTTATAACATTACTCCATAACAATAAAATAACTAGCAGTCATTGGAAGAATGAATCCAGGTAGAGTCACACAGCTTTTTTTCACACCTTCAGTGTGGAACAACTTTACATATCTTTAAGATACAGAAAAGAGGGCCAGGCAAGAATTATGTATCTAACTCAGCTTGTTCTCTCTGGTGGGGATGTCCTTTGAAAAACCCATAGCTCTTATAACTGACTTATTGTAGTTATTGCAATTCATTACTGTCGTAGCTTTTTCTCACCATAGTCAGATGCCAGTTTTCTTGTATGGGTTGGCATTGGTTTATAAACATAAAACTTTTTCTTTTAAAAAAAACCAAGACATCTTTTGCCTTTAGGATATAAAGACTGCAAGTGGAGAAAGGACAATGCTGTGAGAGTTACTTTTGATCTAATGAATACAAAGGAGACATTTCTACCTCAGGAGGTGAATGTTTGGTCATTATCAGTCACATAAAATATTTTAGTTGCCCTCTGCATTTGTGACTTCTGGGCTCTCATAAATCAGATGAGACGCTGATGGTCAAACAGACTTATTATATTCCCTGAGTCAAAAGTACTGTTTTTCCACAGTCATTTTGACCCTGCACTTATCATCTGGTCTTGTTTTAAAATAAATCTTAAGAGTTATTTTTCACTGCTGGCTGATATCCAGCCAAAGGAAAACTAGTACTTAACTCTTATGCAGTGCGAAATGAGAACTTCCTAGTTTAAAAATTATCAGGTCTCCTGTGAAATTCCACCAGTTACCAGTCAGCAGGCCTTAGAAACTTACATGTCTTTGTGTGGGGGTGAGCTCTTGTACGTGTACAAAAGTGCCAACACTGAGAGCCTGGAGGAGAGGCAGACATTTAAGGCTTCCCTGCTAGGAATGACCTCTCCTCACACTCTTCAAAGAGCTCTTATGTCTGAAAGGTATCTGAGCCCTACTAGGTTTTTTTATGTAATAACTTTTTGCTGAATTTTTTCTTGTTTTCTTCACATTTCAATGAGGTGTTGGGTTCTTGGGGAACTTGGAGAACAGATGAGTTTTATGCACGTAGATAGCCTTAGGGCAAACAAATAAGTAAAATACAAATGGCATAGAAATGAAAGTAAAATAAAAATTGGTCCCAGTGCCACAAAAACCTCCAGTCCAAATTAAAAAAAAAAAAATGGAAATTTTTTACTATATCAGGAAAACTAACTGAATGTGGTAAAATAATCTGATTGCGACTTGAACAGGACTGTCTTCAACTCTGATTTCTCTTAACCTTCTGAAATTAAAGGTTGAAATAGTTCGTTCTCAGATAACAAGAAATATCTGGATAATAATAATAATAATAATAATAATGATAATAATAATAATAATAATAATAATAATAATAATAATAATAATAATAATTATTATTATTATTATTATTATTATTATTATTATTATTATTATTATTATTACTATTACTATTACTATTACTATTATTATTACTATTATTTTGCTTACCTTTGAGGAGTAGCAGTATTAGCCAGAATTAAGTCTTCGTCTCTTGAAGATGATTTGCAGTTGTATTATTCTGAGAAGTACAAAATATCTAATCAAAGCTGAGATAGTTTGGGAAAGCAGGACTTAGTTTTGTTCACATTCTGTTAAAAAGATGTATAGTTAGCTTCATTTTCATTATAGATATTCATCAAATTATACAGTTGGTTAGAAAATTCAACAAACATAATATTGCAAATAAAATTCTGGCATTCAGTTCAAGGAAGAACTTCATCATTTACTGTGAAAGAAGACAACTATTTAAAATGCGCTGTGAATAAAGCCAGCTTCCAGGAGATATTACATAATTTCTGTCTACAGAACTGAATAAAGCGTATGAAAGAAGCAAATTGTCTTTGTTCCTGAGACACCCACCCAGAATCCACCTTTTCCTCCAGGGCCACGGCCAGTCCTGCTGCCCAACATTGACCTCTTCTCTCTAAGCGCAGTTTGGTTTCTCCTGAATCACCACACACAGGGAACCTACAAAGCACAAACAGGATTGTAAGGACATCATAACAACTGATGCCATGTACTCCCTGATGCCATGTTGTTAGGTGTGCAGGTTTCTGAAGGACAGCTGTGGGTGCGTTATCTTGCAGTGCCACAGACATACCATGGCCTCAAAAAACCAAGAATGCTGCACATCAGACATCTACTGTCCCAGCTCTGGGCTGCTTGCTTGCCTGGTCACTCAATTGCCATTTAATCCGGAACTTCTCTGAGAGCATTAGACATATCTTCATCTCAGTTAATAAAAATTAATTTATAATCCAAATTATCTTTCCTACTGTATGGTTTTAACTAAACTGCACCAATCTCATCAGTATTTGAGCTTGTCTAGAATTTTCATTGACTCATTCTAAATTAACTGCAGCTCAAAAACCTCACTGTAGTTTAAAACCTCGACAGACTCTTTCTGGCTTCCCTGGGAGTAAAGGCTAGACTTCTAACTCACCTCTCTTATACCATCTCTCCAAACAGTTTAGATCTGTGATGCTTTTTGGGCTCATGTACAGCCTTAGAATAATGTAACTCTGGAATTATTCAAAAAACATTTGCTTATTGCACATGCTACATATTCTAAATAATCTCATAATTATCCAGAATATCACAGGATAAAATAAATTGGATATATTTAAGTGCATGGAGAGAGGGGTCAGGTGCATGAGGGCCTTCCAAGACATAACCAGAGATCATTATGTATCTGCTAAAAATAAGACAAAAGAATATAAGTGATTTCTCTCTGCTGTGAACTGTTACAAACATTGCATTCATTAAAAAAAAAATTCTCTGTCTTCACAAAGCTTTCATTAAAAGTTAGGTTCTCTGCAAAACAGATTTGAGTTGTGCTAATCGACAGCAACATCAGAAAACAGAAGTGGTTTACACTAAAGTATCACTAGAAATAATTTTCTGAGGAATGTTAGAATTGCTGGCAAGTTTTGGAGGTGGTAAGAATATCAGATGTAATGGCTGGAAATAAAAGCAACATTCTTAATTTCACAAAATAATAATCCCTTTGTGACCTCTAGCAAGTTATTTAGGATACACATTGGAAAAGCTCGTAAAGAATTCATACATCAAAATACCTCTCATTTTCAGTGGGAATTAATGTGCTAAATGTACCTCACAGATGTGGGAGTCACTCACAGATGTGGGACATGTTCTCTGAAATTCATTAGGAAAGTGAACCCCCAGAGAACTAGAATGGCAAAATTTTTAAAGAACTTATTTGTAGAATAGTGTTGAATAATACTAACCTGCTTCACTGAGATACATGAACACCTTGAATTTTACACTGTTTAACAGCTTAGACAAATACATTTTATACAAGCACAAATGCATGTTTTCTGTGTGACCTAGATGCATGCTCTGCCTGGATTCTCTTGATCAGAATTAGAAAGCTCACCCTGCACACCTGGAAATGAAGGAAGGCAATAGATCCCACCAATTCTCAAAACCGTGGCCAGACCATTTAGGTTACTTGAGAGAGTGCTGACTTCTTGGAAAATGAGGACTATAAATGCAATTCAGGTGGCCCAGAGGAGTCACTGAGGAAAGTGAACAGCCTTTGCCTTGTTTTGTTTACCTCAGAAAGCTCATTGTCTGGAAAAAAAGCTGATTCGATAATTCAGTTGATTATCCCACTGATAATGAGGACAGAAAATTGCTGAAGATTTCTCATGTAGGACTATTCCTTGTGATTAGCTTTTAATACTCCTAACTCAAAAGCAGCTTTCTCAAGTCTAGGAGAAATCAGTATTTAATCACCTGGGACTCCTAAGGAGAATGCAGCCCTCACTGGTTGACAGGAAAGGGTAACACAGAAACATTCCGAGGCTGGTGATAAAGTAGAAGTTATTTCATCTTGTTTTTTGCCCTCTGAAGGAGCACAGATAAGTTCACTGCTACAAGAAATAGGAAATGCCCTGAGGCACTGGAGATCTCAAGAGTGCATATGTGTCTCTCTGCCTCTCTCTCACACCACCAAAGAGAGTTGCTCTTTAAAAATCCTGTCTCAGACAAATTACTGAACTCATCCTATGGAGCCAGGAGAGAAAGGAATCTGCACTAAATTCCAGGATTAACTGTTGAGGAGGACTTTCACACAAATTGGTGCAGCAGTGAGGTATCAGAGGACTGCACTATGTGTTCCTGAGAGGCACACCTAGTTTTTTTTATTCACAATTAGGACAAAAAAACTCATATAGGATTTGCCATTTCCCTCTCCATCCTCTTCCTCTCCTCTCCAAACCCTCACCATGTACATGCTCAAATTTTTCCATAACAGGCAAGTATTTTTTGGTCTAAGCCAATAGTCCAGAAGACTAGGTGGAATGTTGTTATCAGATAAATCTTCTTTAGTCTTTTGATGGTGATTCAGCAATTCGCACTAAACAGAGGCTGACTAGAAAATTGGAGGTAAGCTGAGGCCATGATCTCAGTGTTTACATTTTTATTTTGACAATCTGTTCCCCTGAACATTTGGCCTCCTTTTGGGCTGCCTTCATCTTCCCCAGCCTGGATGGTGCTCTCGGCCATGGACTGTGAACTAAGAGCACTCCCTTCACGAGGCCCCGAGTGAGCTTGCCAAGGCACGACCTCTGAGGGAAGAGAAATACCTTTGCTGAGGGCATCTGTCAGAGTTTGGGAGTGAGCAACACAGCCAGCTGTTCAGCACTATCTGTCAGGGCTTTGGGGCTTATCAAAAAGCTGATTTTGGGAGAATTAGTGAAAATTAGAATCAGCACTTGATGCGTCTGGAATTTTCAAGTATCTCCGGCATTAAACAGAGGCTGATATTTGGGAGTTTGACTATGTGTAAATCCTTTGGATCTAACTTTGTGTATGTAATTTATGTTTTGAAGGGAACACAGGTACTATTTTTGACTTTGAATTCACAAATTAAAGTGCACCACAAGAGACATATATTCACTTAAATTGAAACTAATGAAGAGGCTGCTACAAAGCTTAGCAAATCCAAGCTATGTACCTTAATAGATCTCTGCAATAAAAGAATAGTAAAACATTGAATTAAAGTATTAATGCAGTGTTCTACTATATTAATGTACTGTAGCATGAAGTGAACTTTATCCTTTTAGAAAAACAATAACTATTAAATGTAATTTCCCATGTGTTAATACTGTAGAAACAAGGAACCATAATCAATTTACAATTATCATCCCAGCAAGATAGATTTTCAGATACCTGTTATTTACTTTGTCCTACTTTCTTTTCAGCCTTGGACTGAAACTCTCCAAGCCAGATTTTCGTGTTTCTGCACAAATGCTCATTTTTCTTTCACTTCCCCTCTCAAATATATTAAGTAGTTGCAACCTGAAGTCGTTGAGTATCATGCTTCCATCAAGGCATGTGAAAGCATAGCAGCTATGTGGTCTAATGCTGGGCCAGAACCTACGAGTGTGATGGAATGGCCTGAAGTTGCATGAGGGAGGGTTAGGTCAGATATTACAAAGGAAAGTTCTTCACTCAGAGGGTGGTTGGGCACAGGAACAGGCTCCCCAGGGAAGTGGTCACAGCACCAAGCTCGACAACGTTCAAGAAGTGTTTGGACAACGCTCTCAGGCCCATGGTGTGACTCTGAGGGATGGCCTGTACAGGGCCAGGGCTGGACTTGGTGATCCTTGTGGGTCCCTTCCAACTCAGCATATTCTGTGATTCTGAGGTATCTGGGGTGAAGGTGTTGCAAGGAGAAGAGGAAAGCCCCCATTGCTGACACAGGTTGGTCAGTGCTCCTCTGAGCAGCGAAGGGAGCAGGTTCCTGGCAGCTCTATGTGCCGAGCAGGGCAGGGGCAGCTGCGGAGCTGCTGGCAGTGCAACAGACAGGGCCAGAGCCTTTCTCCCCTCAAAGAGAAGCACAGGGAGAGGTCAAACAGCACACTGTGACCATCAGAGACTTGCAGTGGGTGGATTAAATCTGCTTCACAAAAAGAGAGAGGATTCTTTGTGGTGGTTGCAGTAACAATGAAATGTTCTTTGCAAAACCTTGTACAAAATCTTAATTCGGAAGAGTCTGAGCAACTTCAGGACCTCTAGATTCTCCCAGACAAATACTGCTGTACTGTAAGAATCCTTTTTGCTTTAAAATTATTTTTTGTTTTAAAACAATCAAATATTTGAATTAGAAAGTGAAATAAAATCTTTAAAAGAAGATTTAGGTAATGAAAATCAACAGGCATATGTAAGGAAGTGTTTTGTATCTGAATGGCTGATTAATGCAGCTCTTGTCTCATTTAGCTCATTTAACAAATAGTAACTCCGCGTCACCTCAATTTTATAGCAAACAACAAAAGGGGAATTAAAAATACTAAAGCTAAACCATTGTAAATTACATCAAAACAGTTAAGGGTTACACAACATCACTAAAAAACCAAAATTTTATTGTCTTGTAAGCCAGTTGGCTCTAAGCCTGTTGGGTTATTCCTGTAAGCAAGGTATAGCCATGCTTCCCTTCATAGTACTAAACAAAAACTTGAAGGACAAAGGTTTAAATGAAATTTCAAATGATTTCTTTATTTTTAAACAGTCTTCAGGTTATATAAATTAGTGCATTTTATCTTATACTTGCAATGGACAAATCTTATGCATTTACTGCACCTCAGCAGTAAATCTGAATAAAATGCTTACAAGGGGTATTTCAAGAAGTGGTGGCATCTCAGTTATTTACAGTCCTCTAAATATCCTCTTAGGCATCTCAGTAATAGCTGGCTTTCATATGTTCTACAGATGCCTGCTATACATTCATTTCAGAAAGGTGTTTAAATGAAATAATGCCTGAAGGAAACAGCCTTCTTTAGTTGTCATTGTGCTCAGAGTCAATTCATGACAACTGAAAACAGAACAAAATGGGGTGATGACGATCAACAGCAGTTTCTAAACTTTCTCATTTTGCACTAAAGCATATTTTTTCAGTTAAAGAAGTTGAGTTTATGACTAATAGCATTTTTGCCTTTCCCTCAAATTTGTTCAAATCCATAAAAATTAAATTTTGTAATGACTTTTTAAACTAAGTAAAAATACTTGCTTCCCCTGCTGAGGGTTAATATTCTGTTTATTAACCTTTCTACTCATCTTTTTGTAGACTTAATATACAGGGGAAAAGAAATCTGATAGATAAGGCACAGCAGTGGATAAGAGATTATCAGTGGTCAGGAGAATGGATAGTAAGCAGAAGGTACTCATACAGATGAGACCTCCAGCCAGTTAGCTGAAACTGATAGTGAGAGATTAATCCAGCTGAGGAAATTAGTTTCTGGTCAGTAGAAAGCAATTGAAATGCTACAAATTATTGCCAGCAGTCTCAGTGGCAAAACTGAAAAACAAGAACTCTTAGTGCAGGACCTGAGAAATAACATTCTCCAGGTAGCAGAAGCATGTTAGGAGAGCAGCCATGGCAGGAGCAGAGGTATGAAAAGATTTGCTTTGCTCAAAACTCACAGAAATAAAGACATAAGGTGATTTATTTTAAGGATATGAAAGACTTCAGGAAATAAGAAAGATATGAGATGCATAAAGCACAATCTTTTGGAGTCAAAGACATGTTGAGACACATGATAAAAGATGAATTACAAGCATGACACTGGGAAGTTTTGAGTCAGATATATAAGCAGAGAGAGCTTCATGGTGCTTTTGGAGGTAAAAAAACCCTCCAGTTACAGTAATATATCTATGAGAATCTCCAGTTACTAGATATAGAATGAGAAATAAATAAAGCAAATATTCACAGAATCATTTCATCTTGGACATGGCAGTTGAGAGATTAACCCCAAAAAATTAACATGCAGGAGAGGAAATATTTTAAACATCATTAAAGTAAGTTTTTAAACCACACACAGTGTTGAAAATAACCAGAGCTGCAAGACTGTAAATTAAAAAGTAAACATACAGAAATAATAAAGTACCTAATTTTGAAATGAAATATTTGGGAGGAAAAAAAAAAGCACAACAAAAAAAAGAAAAAACTGAAACCAGAAACAAGTTGGGGAAGATGCAGCAAACTGCTGAGGGACAGAAGTGTGACAGAAGACGAGAATTCATTTCAGTTGAAGGTACTATAAATACTCAGGTTCTAAATCTCAGAAAAAGACAGAGCAAAATCCTTGGAGAAAAAACCACTACACTTACAGCATGAACACCTTGAGATAGATATAGATAGATATATATATAGCATCTGAAAGGAGAGGGGAAATGGAGGGATGATCAGCAAAGTATGTCAGACAAGAAGTGAAGAAGCACAGGGAAGTGTTAGAACAAGCTTGGTCTTTGGGACAGAATATACAATCAACTAATTAATGTTTATATTTGAGAGAAGAGCTCGTGCATGGTTATTAAGTTGAGTTAATATTTGGCTTCAGCGCTTGTTACAGACCGTGTTGGCTACTCAGACATATACATGAATATGGGGTTGGAGTTTGCTGCTGCAAAGCATATGCCAGTTGAGAAGGCTGGATAATCCAAGCCTGGAAAAGTTAGTACAAGATTATGGGGATCTCTTCTCTTCTCTTCTCTTCTCTTCTCTTCTCTTCTCTTCTCTTCTCTTCTCTTCTCTTCTCTTCTCTTCTCTTCTCTTCTCTTCTCTTCTCT